AATAATTTCCTAAGAAACAACTCTTGAGTTCTGGTTATATATGTAAAATTTCAGTCTGGACAGAATTTTCTTTTTTACTTTTCTTTGTTCAATATTTATGTGATTAGTAATAGTAACAGTATCATATATTTGTGTGCAGTGTTGCAACTGACAAAGTGTTTTAATAAGCTTGGCAACAACCCTTTGGTATCTCATTCTTGCTGCTGAATTTTTGAAGGCAGGTATATAGAAGTCCAACAGCTAATAATTGGCAGAATTGTGCCTTGGACCTGATTCTTCCAAGCCAACTTCAGTGTTCGTTTCACTACATTTTATCTATGAAGGTTTCCTTCCAGGGAGAGTTGGTTAGGGTCTTAACAGTTTTCAACCCCAGTGATTTTGGTTGATATCCTTTTGTCCTGCACATAATAAACAGTCATTTAGGGGCCAGAATGGTGACTCAAGCCTGTAATTCCAACACTTAGAGGGGCTGAAGCAGGCAGATCACTAGGTGAAGAGATCGAGACCATCCTGGTCAACATAGTAAAACCCTGTCTCTGCTAAATATCCACAAAAAAAAAATTAGCTGGACATGGTGGTGCGGGCCTGTATTCTCAGCTGCTTGAGAGGCTAAGGCAAGAGAATTGTTTGAACCCAGGAGGAGGAGGTCGCAGTGAGCCAAGATTGTGCCACTGCACTCCAGCCTAGCGACAAGAGTGAGACTCCATCTCAAAATAAAACAACAAAAACAAAAGAAAAGAACTGTGGAAGGAGATGAGGAAGGAAGGAAGGAAGGAGGGAAAGAGGAAGGAAGGAAAGAAAGAAGGTGGGGAGGGGCAGGCTGCATGGAAGAAAGAGGGAGGGCATGAAGGAAGAGGGGAATCCTGTTGTGTGGTAAATGATTTTTGGAGCCCTGAAATGATGGTAGTAGTCTCCAAGTTCTCAGCTATTTCAGAGAACTGTCCGGATTCCCCAGCAATGATCATTCGTCCTGACCTTTTTTGCCAAGGCAGACCAGGTCTAGAATAAATTACTAGAAAATACGTTCTCTGGTGTTAAAAGGAATGGCCCAAACCACAGTTACTTTTGCACCAACCTAGTAGTAAGTTACAGCTTTACCTTATACTTTCTTCCCATAATATTGTAGTTGCTGACATACCAAGGAAAGCGCGTTTGGGATAAAGTGGTCGTATAAATGGCAAACATCAAAGTAATGTCAGATTTTGTAGTGTTTTTCTAATTGCTGTTCATTTAGCAGTCACTAGAAGATAACTCCCAAATTGTGAAAAACTAATCACAAATCAGAGGGAGACGAGGTTTAGGAAACACTGAATGAGTAAGATCTGCTTCACCTCCTTCCTGGAACAACTATGGGGTGGGGGTGAGGGGTCATCTTTTATATATTGAAACATATTTTATCTTCCAAATATGTTTACCTTTAATACAAGTCCTCCTAGCTCCCCCAGAAAGAATGCTGTTTGCTCTGTTTGGCATAGGACCCACTTTGTCTGTCTCATTATGTTTTGGTTGAATTGCCAAGTGGAAACTGATTTAGAAATACTGAGTGTGTATGGCACAGAGAAAAATTATCACTGCAAAATTTATCAGCCTGTGTAAGACTGTCAGGGCACTGTGTTCCAGTAGGGAGACCGAAAGGAAACCTGGCAAAAATCTGAAGAGTGTATGTAGCACCATCTCCATCCCGGGTTCTTCTGACAATTACAACTTACTCCTGTGCTTGGCTGCTGGTTCAGAGCAGCTTCATCCAGTCAGTTGATGCTTCGCATCACCTGGGAGCTCCTTGCTGCCTTACAGTTCATGATCATTTTTTGATCTCACTGCTGCTAAAGGATAAAAGTGCTAAGCATAATAATCCATGACTGTATGAGATACTTGCTACTTCATTTCCCTTCAAGAATCATTTTGCTATCAAATACCCCATTACTAGTTTCAGGTAATGATCTAAGATTTTTTTAAATGAATATTTCAGAGCTAGGTGCTTCAGGATAGCGTTACAAGGAAAATCATTTCAGGGAGATATATTTTTAAGGCCTTAATAAAAACAGTTGTTTCTAGTTTTTAACCTATGTATTAATCTCATTTTGATAATCTCATAAGATCAGGAAGTCTAAGGAAGAGGTATGTCTGTCTGTTGTTTATATCACTGCTATTTTTTATTGTTTACATTTTATAAGGAGTGTCTACATTTTAGGGGGAGGTGGAATGTTGGTTTTGTCGTTTTACCAAAAGTGTTGGCATTTGTCCTGAGAGAGCCCAGGCAGTGTTTGCTGTTCAGGTTGCATGAAAGGCAATCTTTAGCAACCTGTCAGAGATGCAAAGGCCACTCGGGTCTGCTTGAGGTCCAGAGTTCCTCTGCAGGACTGCACAGTGACAGCACACTGCAGGTGGCCCATTCAGCACTGTCACCTGGGGCAGCAAGGATACGGAGCTCCATTTGTCATCCCGTGGAATTCTGTCAGCAGTTGAAAGCCTTTAAGTACAAAACCTTTAACATTCAAGGCAAACTTCCTGATATTTTTTAAAGGCAATTGCTGTGAATGAAAATATTAATATTTAAGCACCTAAATAAGTAAGTTTTCACATGAAGAGATATTAGGTTAAAATTATATGTTGTGTGATATCTAGGAATGTTGTATATTCCATGGTTTTACAGACCAAACAATGCAAATCACATTCCCCTCTTCTCGATGAAGATGTTAAAGTATAACTGATATTTGATGGTAAAAATCAATTATCTCCTCATTCTTTCTTATTCCTTTTGTTTAGTTCGTTTGGTTCATAGGCCTGGAAAAGATGCCTTGAAATGTAATCTGAAACTAACTTTTTTTTTGGAGTAATAACAAAATTAGTCTAATTCTTATTTATCCATAGTAATGATTCCAGAATAACATGCATTTCCTTAGAAATAAAGTTCTCCTTTAAAAAAATATAAATAGCATATATCTTCAAAGTCCCCAGATTTCTATTGTCAAGCTTTTTCTCTCATTGATACATGTCCAAATTAAGAGTCTTCCCTACTTGCCCATTAATATTTGCTATTATTCGTTGAATGCATTTTTTTGTTTTTTTTTTTTTGCCAATTCCTTTATCTAGATTATTTATAATCTCTACAAAATTCTGTAAGATTGCCATTAGCCCTGTTTTCTTAATGGGAATATTGAGCATCTGAGTGGTTAAGTGACTTATTCAAAACCAGTAGGGGGCAAGATTTGAACCACGTCTGTCTCCAAATTCCAAATTGTCTAGAGTGTCTTTTGCTGTTATTCCAAAAAGCCATGCTAAGACCAATGAAAGGTGTCCAAAAACATGCCTTGGACAGGGAAGTAAGAGGCAAGCAAGGCCATGAGTAATTCAGAAATGGAATAATCAGATGTTGAGTATTCCAGTCAGATAGAATAAAAATCAAACAGGGGAGAAGACAAAATTAGGTTATGTGTCACAACAAAATGTGGACTTACAAAGGAAATGAACAGGAAAGGCAGAAGAAAATGGAAAAGTAATACATGGCAGGTCAAGTAAAAGTAAACAAGGGTATATGAAACTCACATGGAAATAATAAAACAGAAATTAGTAAAGAACACAGACGAGATTAAAAATTCATAGGAATGTATCAGTGGACAAGAAAAAAATTGCCTCTAAAGTTGGACATTTTTTCTTTAAATGTGTATATAGAATCTGCACTGGTTTAATACATGGGCTTTGCTTTTCATTCTGATAATATCATTGATAAACATTGTATACATTAGACATTTTTTGGTTGGGACTCAGTATTGCCCATGCTGTTCCCAGTGATAGGAGAATCATCCTGGTACTAAATGCCCTGGTAGCCTGGGGCGGAGAGCTTTGGCCTTGTATAATTCATGTGCCCACTTTTCATGTAAAGTGAAGTTTGACAAGTGAATGTTAAGTTCGTTGTATGAAGGTATTGCAAACCAAAATTGAAACTTATTTCTACCCCTCATTCAAAATGGAGATATTTTGTAGTGCTTTAGTCTACATTTACAGTGATATTAGATTCTTTCCATTTCTTTAAAAGTATGATGGCAGTTGGATATTCAACCATATTCCTCTAAGAAATTAGAGTAGAAAAGAATGGCTTCTAATCTGCGTGTTAATATGTATCTGACTAATAATCTATAATGTTTTCACTGGGAACAAATAAGCCAGCTTACTTTTTTTTATATATCCATCATGTCTAAAAAATTTGAAGTCAATAGGCATGTAAAACATTTCAAAATAAATAATTTTATCAATTAGTTGCCATTAACAAATAGATGTCTAAATTTTGTGGCAATGACATGACTTTATACCATTATCTTGAACCTTCCTGGGAAATGTATTTTAATTACAATAGAGCTTGTCTTTTCCAACTATCTGGAAAATTATATATTGGTTAAAAATCTTGAGCCCCAGCTGAGTACAATAGCTCATGCCTGTAATCCCAGCACTCTGGGAGGCCGAGTCAGGTGGGCAGGAGATCCAGACCATCCTGGCCAAAATTGTGAAACCTTATCTCTTCTAAAGTACAAAAATTAGCCAGGTGTGGTGGTGTGTGCCTGTAGTCCCAGCTACTCAGGATGCTGAGGCAGGGGAATTGCTTGAAGCCGGGAGGCGGAGGTTGCAGTGAGCTGAGACGGCACCACTGCACTCCAGCCTGGCAACGGAGTGAGACTCTGTCACAAAAGAAAAAAAAAAAAGAAAAGAAAAAGAAAGAAAGAAAGAAAAGAAAAGAAAAAAAAAAGTTAAGCCCCTTTTCCTATTTAATTATAATAAAATTAGTTAACTCAATAATTCTCTCTTTTACAATTTGATTCCATGTAATTAGACCCAGAAAGTGCTTAACTTCTTTGCTATTGTTTGTAAGGTCTGCAAGCTTAGTGAAATCTCCTGTACCTTATATGAACTCTTCCTTTTTGGATGATTTAAGATTAAAGGCTGCTTAGAAGGGTTAAAAAAAAAAAAAAGTCAAAGTTAACCTTTCTCCTTTCTCTCTTCTTCAGCTACATCTACATCTACTACTGGGACAAGCCATCTTGTAAAATGTGCAGAGAAGGAGAAAACGTTCTGTGTGAATGGAGGCGAATGCTTCATGGTGAAAGACCTTTCAAACCCCTCGAGATACTTGTGCAAGTAAGAAAAGAAATCCTGTGTGTGGCTTATGTCTATAACTGCTTATTTCGGATGATTCTATGTCTCATGATGTATTGTTTCTTTTTTTCCAATTTTGTTGCATGATGTTGAATAATGCTGTTTTATATGGAGAGTGTTTTAAAACATTCACATCATTTGTCATCACTCCTCTGTCATATCCAGAATTGTTTTTTGCTCTTTTCAATGTGTGTGATTTTTTTTTTGCCATTATTTATAATGTTGCTTTTTTTGTGTTTTTTCTTGTTGTGATTCAGAAAAGATGTGCAAATATCATAGAGGCCTATAACTTTTGATATCTACTTCTATATTCAATGTATGAATTAAGCTGTAAGATAATGTTGCTTTCTTATCCCAGTGATCACCTGCAAAGTGAATAAGACAACCAAAAGAAGCAGAAAGGCAGAAGATTATTGACTGACATATGTCCGTTATTGATATTTAGCCTATATGTGCTATATGGATTATTGACTGACATAAGTCTGCTATTGATATTTAGCCTATATGTGCTATATGGACTCATAATTTGATGTGGCCCTAAGAAGATACATAATGTTTCACTGAAATGATGAAAATACACATTTATTTTGCTGTTCACAAATAGCTGTATCCCAAAAGTGATATATTTTAAAGGTTGTTCCTTTAAAAATGTAGTATAGAACATCTAATCAATTTTGCCAGCAGTCCCCAGCTGGAAACATGCAGTGGGGACATTGTTCTAAAGCAGCAATGCTTGTTCTGAAGGAGGGAAAACCATTTTTTTGTAAAAAAATATTTTTCATAGAATATTGGCATGTGACAAATCTTGAAAAGGAAGAACAAGTTTGTTAGAGAGGCAATTGAACTGATAGGAGCAATTAGCAAGATGAAAAAGACACAAGAAATAGTCAACTAGGTCATGTCTCTTTCATATCACAGAAGTACTGTATAAATATTTAGGTGCCAATTCTCATAAAACCTTAACTATGTTTATAAGTAAAGAAGTTCATCTTAAAAGATGTATGTTTTAAAGGCAAAAAAAAAAAAAAAAAAAGCAACAATCGAAAATGCCATTTTGTAGGCCATGTTTTGCTGCTGTCTGAGCTGAGGTAGACTGGGCATGTCTGTGGTGTGCCTGATGGGAGCTCATGGCTCTGAACAAGTACCTTCCAGAACTGCTTCCTTCTTATACTCAAAAGCTCTTCTTTGAAGAGAGTAGATACAGTGTCAAGATAAGACAAGTTTTGGTGGTTGTATAGCTGATTTTATCAAAGACAGATAATTTGTAAAAGTAAATATAGTCTGTTAGAGCAAATAAAAGACTTGGAGCCAGAACAGAATTTTAATCTCAATTACTAAACATTTCTTCTATGGAAATAAATAATTTTTGTAAGACAAAGTGAAATGATAGGTAAAAGTCTTACAGAAATATTAAAGCAAGATGAAATACGAGTATGAGGCCAGGTGCATGACTGTAATCTCAGCACTTTAAGAGGCCGAGGCAGGCAGATCACTTGAGCCCAGGAGTTCAAGACCAACCTAGGTAATATGACAAAACACCATCGCTAGAAAAAATGCAGAAGAACAATTAGTCAGGCATGGTGGCATGCACCTGTAGTCCCAACTATTTGGGAGGCTAAGGTGGAAGGATCACTTGAGCCTGGAAGGTTGAGCCTGCAGTGAGCCGAGATTGTGTCACTGCACTACAGCCTGGGTGACAGAGTGAGACAGCCACACATACACACACACACACACACACACACACACACACACAAAGTATGTAGAAAAGATTATTCCTTTTAGATCTGAATTATCTCATATGACTGTTTATTGTTTAAAAAGTAATCTTAGAGATTCACTTCTTGAGCATTAAAATATTCAAATCTATATGCTTGCAGCAGAATACAAATCTATCCGATTTAGTCTCTAGTTCTACTGACTTGCTGTGAATACAGTACAAATATGAGACATCCCCATATTTATCATAGCAAATTGGGATGAACCAGCTTTTTAGTTTCCTGTAAGACTTTCTCTGATCGAAATAGAAAATGCCAGAAGCTGAGAATTATAATCTATAAAATATGAGGTTCATTTGATATATGGGAAAACTTTGTTACATTTTCCTAATCTTAAGCATACAATGTAATTGTAGTTTAATAAATCTCCTTGAAAAAACATTTAAATTATAGTTCCTTAAATTCTTCTTCTTTTAAAACAATGTACGCATATTATCTATGTCTCATATTTTTACTTCTCAGAAAAGCATCTGAGACCACTATATTTTAATTATCATAATGAAATATGATCATTTTTCCTCATCACTTTGCAAAGATTTACAAGCTGAGTAAGTACATATGATAGTTTCTGTATACCTCTTAGGAACCAGGGCAGTTCTTTTCCACATATTAATTTCAGCCATTCTTTAGCCCTCCCACGTCCAATACAAAACATGTAATCACGTAAGTGCTGTTCAGTTTTTTCATTTTAATATTGTGCCAACAACTGTAATTTTTCTTCACTCAACACAGTTTCTCGTTAAATTTTAAGCCTAATCCAGAATTAAAAACTTGCTCTATTTTAAAACTGTTGAAGTGAAACATTTGGAACTCTTCTAGTAATTATTAAAGCCGCAAGCCATGAATCAACACTGCGTTCCCCCAAACTAATTGTCTAGTGGGTCATTCTTGCCTTCTAGTTCTAAGAAAAATATATCTTTTTTTTTTTTATTTTGCTAATTAGAATCTTTTAGGGAAGTGTTTTAAATTGTTACTGGATCTTATCAGAAAGAAAATCTTTGACATCTATGATTTTGATAATTTTTTCCCTTCTTTTGAATGGTGACTTTATTCATACATTAAAACAAACCAGATCCTTGAGGGAAGAACTAGAGAATATATTCTACATACAAAATATTTCAAATATTTCTTGTTAAATGAAACTTTTTTTTTAATTTTGTATGTGAAACATGTATAGCATTAAAAAGAATTACTAGTCAGAATTTAAACAAAGACATATTCTACTGTGTCTTATGATAATACATTGTTCACTAGACCACTTGAATAGAAACAGAAGACATAAAAATATTGCTTTGGCTCATCACAGTCCTGTCTATGAAGCCAGTTCATAGTTTCCATATGGTCTATCTGTCTAGAGCTAAGCATTGCTGAAGCATGAGCCACATCATTGAAAATCAGCTTTATCCCTGACTAAAGACATGACTCAGAAACACCACAAGCATGGAAGTTTCCAAGTAGTCTCTCTGGTCACCTAATCCGCTGTTGTCTTCTTGGGAGTTGAAGTAGAAGATTTTACAGCAATCTCTTTTGTCTCTCTGCTTAGAACAAGGTGTTTAGAATGGATTAAACATATTAACAGTGCAAATCTTCTCTGAGGAGAGGTTTCCGGATTGCCTGGGCCTCCTCCTGGGGACTATGTGGGAATTTCAGTGGTGGTTCTCATCTTTTATATTTTTTTATCTACAGTAATTTAAAATTTATTTTGTGGAAAAAGAAATAGTTACTGTTCCAGAGTATGTAAAGATGAGAAAAGAATCATTCCATTTTTACCCTCTGATGCTCTGTGTAGTCCTGTGGCTCAGAAAAAAACAATATACATGAAATTGTCCAGTTTTCCTCTTCTGTCTTTTCTTTATTCTTGTGTATCTGTTCTTCTGAATAGTTTCATTGGATAACTACTTTGGAAGATATTGATGTGATTTTTTAATCTAAAAATTATTTTATATTAGGCTGTGCTTGTAAGTCCAATATGTTGTCCAGTGGACAGATGTGCCTTCATCTGGAGCGGATTAGAGTTTAAAACTACCAATTTTGGTGAACAATCTTACGTCCTTTCACTTCAGCTCTCTGGACAATATATTTATTTATAACATGAAGTTAATATGTTCTCCAAATTTCTTCCCAGGGAGTCAGTGAAATTAAATGAGTTCATTTCTGCTAAAGTACTTTTAACTCTGGGGAAGCAAAATTTATTTTTCCTTATAATAAAAAGAAAATGGTAGTATTACATTCTCTCAGTAGACGTTGGGAAAATATATACACCTGTTTTAATAGACTGTGTTATGTTTAATTTCTTTTTGTTGTTGTTGTCTTTGTTTTGTTTTGAGATGGAGTTTCACTCTTGTTGCCTAGGCTGGAGTGCAATGGTGCAATCTTGGCTCACTGCAACCTCCACTTCCCAGGTTCAAGCGATTCTCCTGCCTCAGCCTCCCAAGTAGCTGGGATTACAAGCATGTGCTACCACACCCAGCTAATTTCTTGTATTTAGTAGAAATGGGGTTTCACCATGTTGGTCAAGCTGGTTTTGAACTCCTGACCTCAGATGATTCACCACCTTGGCCTCCCAAAGTGCTGGGATTACAGGTGTGAACCACCAGGCCTGGCCCATGTTTAATTTCTAATTCTTCATTTTATTTAAGACCAGCAGTTTTCTTGGTTTGTTGGGACCACCAAGTATCTTTATAACTTTTCTTTGACAGATCATTTAATATTTCTGATCATCAGTTTCCTTATGCAAAAACAAAAAACAAACTAAATTTGTAAAGATGGGAGGTATCTATAAACATAGACATTTATAATTTTGTATAATAATGTTTATGAAATCATGTAGGGAGCACTAAACACAGAAAGGAAAAACCAGTACCAGCCACTGCAAAAAAGAAACAAATGGTAAAGACCAACGATGCAGTGAAGAAATTATGCCAACCAAAGGGCAAAACAACCAACCAGTAGTAAAATGGCAGGGTCAAATTCACACATAACAATATTAACATTAAATTTAAATGTACTAAATGCCCCAATCAAAAGACACACACTGTCAAATTAGGTAAAAAGTCAAGAACCATCGGTGTGCTGTTTTCAGGAGATCCATCTCATGTGCAAAGACACACATAGACTCAAAATAAAGGGATAGAAGATTTACCAAGCAAATGGAGTGCCAGATAGTTTTTAAAACACAGAGAAAATGTAAGGTATGAGGTCTGATCC